AAAATGAAAAAAGGAAACAAAGTCTTTGTAAATAGGGAGGGATGGAGGGGTTGAAGAGAGGGCAGGGGAAGGGGGAAAAAATAAGAACCAAGAGAGTATGTAAAGGTGCATATCTCCAATGATGAATGTCATCATACTGTACAAATAAAACGTACCAATAAAAGGATATACAAAAAAATAAAATAAAATAAAAATAGAATAAATTCCCGGCCCTTATTTTTTATTTTTGAGACAAGGTCTGGGCAAGTTGCTAAACTGCCCAGGCTGGGCTCCAGATTGTGATCCTCCTGCCACAGCCTCCAAGAGTGCTAGGATTACAGGCATGGACCACCATGCCCAGCTTGGAAAGCAGGCTTAAAAGGCCTGCATCAAAGACTGCGCATCTTAGGACAAACACTTTTCAGCGAATCATAATTCTTAGCTCCCTCCTTTGTCCCTTTCCTGTCATTTTCACAGCACCCTAGGCTGACTTGATGGGTTTCCAATCAGAACGTCTATGTCCAGTCTAGGGGGCCAGGCCAGCTGCTATTCTTAGGAAATTGCTCCCCCTGCTGGCAGAACTGGAGATGACTCCCAGTCAAGACACCATCCAAGCTTTCTTCCTTACTCTGACTTCCTTTGGAGGGGAACCCTCTCACTCCAAAAGAAGCAATTAAAACCTCAGTTCCAGTCTCCTTCTCCTCTCTCCAGAACCCTCATGTACCTTACAAGAATGCTATCTGGGTGTGGTAGCAAACACCTGAAATCTCAGGATTCTGGGAGGCTGAGGTAGGAGGATCATAATTTCAAGTCCAACCTGGGCAATTCTGCAATTTAGCGATACTCTGTCTCAAAATAAAAAAATAAAACTAAAAAGGGCTGGGTATGTAGCTCAGTGTGAAAGCTCTGGGTTCAATGCCCAGTGCCCTCTCCTCCCAATGCTAGCTAGAAATAGGGTGGGCGAATTCGGTATCTGAACACACAAATTAAATCCCCATTGCTTCCAAATCACTTTCTTCATTTTTGTTGTTCTGTTCTTTTTCCAGACAAGGTCTCACTATGTACCCCAAGCTGGCCTCAAATCTGTGGCAATCCTCGTGCCTCAGTCTGGGATTACAGGCATGCGCCACTATGCCCAGGTCACTTTCTTTTTTTGTCTGTCCCAAACCAACTTTTGATCTTCTTGCCTATGAAGACTTCATTTATTTATAGCTATCTCTGAAAACACTCTTTTCCATTCTTTCCCCTAAAACAGCATTTTTCTGAAACCCTTTTTTGTTTTGTTTTGTTTGGGATTTTTAAAAGACAGGGTCTGGCTATGTAGTTCAGACTGGCCTTGAACTCACTATGTGGCACAGGTTTGCTTGAACTCTCAGCAATCTTCCTGCCTTGGCCTACCGAGTGCTGGGATTACTGGCATGCACCATCACACCCAGTTCCAATTTGTCTCTTTTCTACTTATATGCAAATAAATCAAGAAGTATGATGGAAAGAGTATTGGGTTTGGAGTCAAGGCAAGTAAGTTTGAGTCCTGTTTCTGCCCCCGATTCAGGATGGACCTTGGACTGGTCACTTCTTTCCTGGTGGCAGATCCTCATCTGTGGGATTGGAATGGATTCCAAAACTGTTCCAACTAAGACATTCTAGGATTTGCTCCAACTACTGGTATCTTAAGTTTTCTCAGTTCTTTGTATACATCAAGTTCTCTCCTGCCTCAGGGCCTTTGATCATGCTCTTCCCTCCTCTGTTTGTTTTGTTAACTCATGCTTACCCTTCAGTTCTCAGCTCAGTGCCATTTCCTCAAAGAAACCGTCCCCATCTGTTCTGAACCGGATCAAGAACTGCAGCGTATGCTCTTAGAACTTTCTGGAGTTTTGTTTCTGAGCCTTCATCGTGTTTGTATGTCTCCACTTGTTTGAGTATTGTCTCAAGTCCATCCTTTCCATCAAACTTTTATTTTACAGGAAAAACTTTAATTAGAAAATAAGAGATACCAGCACGGGAGAGGGGGAGGCTGAGGCAGGAGAATCGCCCTAAGTTTGAGACCAGCCTGGGGTTACATAGCGGGTTCAAGCCCAGACTGAACTACACAGCAAGACCCTGTGTAAAAAAAAAATTTTAGGAGGCTCAGCCAGAAGGATCACCAGAAGTTCAAGTCCAGCCTGGGCTACATAGTGAGACCCAATCAAAAAAAAAAAGGAGAGGCTGGGGATTTAGCTCCATGGTTCCAGTGAATGCCTCGCAAGCCCAAGGTCCTGAGTTCCATCCCTGGTACCGAACAAACAAACAAACAAACAAAAAGTAGAGAGGGTCAGGGATTTAGCTCAGTGGTTCTGGCGCCTGCCTCGAAAGTGCAAGGTCCCGAGTTACATCCCTGGTACCAAAAAAAAAAAGGGGGGGGGGGAGAAAAAATGGTAAAAGGCTTGAGGAGCTGACAAAGATTAGCCAGTCCTTAACAAAGGAGAGTAAGGAAAATAAGAAGGGACACCATTTTAAGCAGCTGGAGGGGCCACATTCTGATAAAGGGGATCAGGCTAAACTTTAAAATTCCTGGTAGCTGGCAGTAAGCTTGCCATTCTACCCCAGCATCCAGATCCTTTCCTGCCACTTTGTAAAGGGTCAACATACATTCACTGAATAAATGAGTAAGTAAATGGATGAATGAAACCATTTCTTCTATTGCTGCTTTTTGTTTTCAGTGCTGGGGATCAAACCTAGGGCCTCGCACATACTAGGAAACTGCTCTACAGTAAGTCCCCAACTTAAGAATGAATTCCATTTCAGGAGAATGTTTGTAAGTCACATTTGTTTGTAAGTCCAACAAACTGAGTCTTATACAGTATTTTCACTTTTGTTTCTATGGTTGCTGCTTTGCGCTTCCTAGCAGTCCCCTCCAGATCACCTCTGCTTTTCCTCTTGCTTCCGGACATCCTGGGCTCAGATTGAGCCTTGTACTACTGTACACTAAGCACAGAGCAGCATAGCTGTGACAATGTCTGGCAGACACATGAGCTATTTCCATGATTTATTTGCATCTATGAATGTTTGTAATGTGAGGTCCATTTGTATCTGTGAAAGTTCGCAACTCGAATGTTCGTAAGTGAGGGACTCACTGTACCACTGAGCTACAGCCCCGGCCAACTCTGCTCCTAAATGCTATTTGGTTAGGGTTAGAAAGCAGCTGATAGGCTGGGACTGCACCTCAGTGGTAGGTTCCTGGCACACACAAGGCCTTGGCTTCAAACAAAGCAAAAAGTCAAAAGCCAGACTGCCTGGATTTGGAAACAAGCTTTACCACTCAAGAGCTGTGTAAACTGATGTAAGTTGTTCAATCTTTCTGTGGCTCAGTTTCCTCATCTGTAAAGGGAGGGTAATAATAACATGTATTACCTAATAAGGTCAGCGTGTGGATTAGAAGACAGCACATTTAAAGTGTGCAGAACAAGGCCTGGCACTTCAGTGTTATATAAGTGAGAGCTATTGTCGTTAACCTGTGTCATCCATCTCTCCATTTATGCTTTCCGAACTCTCCTACTAAGCCTCATTATCTTATTTCCTGTCTATGAGTGTAGGTGACTCAGTGTAATTTTTTTTTCTCGGTACCCGGAATTGAACTCAGGACCTTGAAACTGCCAGGCAGGCGTGGTGCCACTGAGTCACATCCCTGGCCCCCAACTCAGTGTAATTTGCAGAGCAGGTCAAAAAGTTTTGTTTTTAAAAATTTCTACTATGTAAATTTTTATTATGGGAGCTGTGAGAAGAGGATAATGAACCTCTGTAACAAGCTTCAACAATCAACATTTGGCCAATCTTTGTTCATCTACACTCCCTCTTTTTTCTCTCTACAGGAACATTTTAATGTAAGCCCCAGATGTCATATCATTTTGTCTGAAAATATACCAATATGTATCTGTAACAAATGAGGACCTACCCCCAACCATGATACCATTATCACACTTTAAAATTAACAACAATTAGGGAGGGCTTTTAAAACCCCATTCCTGGGCCGGGGATTTAGCTCAGTGGTTTCGCCGCCTACTACACAAGCTCAAAGACCCAAGTTCGATCCCCGGTACCAAAAAAAAAAAACAAAACCATTCCTTTGAGGGATGCAGGGAGAATTGTAGCCCTGGATTCGTGGTGGATGCAAAGTGAGGAGCTGCCAAGAGAGTGCATATGTAACATACTCAGAACAGGGCCCATTACATGCCAAGTGGGACACAGTATAGTAACTTCTATTTTGTTTCTCTTGGATTCTCTCCATTTACCCACTCTAAGCACCCCTCAACCTCTTTCTTATTTCCAGGCTGTGAGAATGGATGACCATTTACAAAGGAGGATGCGGAGCCCGGGATGGGGAGTTTCTTGGGTCATTGAAGCCCTGGGTTGGAAGCTGGGACTCTCAGGGGGACACCAAGAAGGACCCAAAGGAAGTAGTGCAGCTGCAGGTGTAGCTCAGCAGTACAAAAAGTAGAAGGCCCTGGGTTCAATCTTCAGCACCTCAAAAACAAAACAAACAGCAGAAGTAGCAACCTAGGGGGTTCAGAGGAGTGGCCAGAGGTGGGGAGGTTAAAGAAGGAGCACTGCAGCTGTGTGACTGAGAACATACAGTAGCCAAAAGACGGCAAACAGCAGGGCCATCCAGGATCACTGCCCACTGGGAAGCAACCCCGGGGCCTCATGTGTGCTAGACAAGGAAGGGCTCTACCACTGAGCTACACCCAGCCCTGGTATTTTACATTGAATGTTGAGAGATCTTATTGAGTTGCTCAACCTTGTGATCCTCCTGCCTCAGCCTCTGGAATAGCTGGGATTACAGAAGTGCACTAAGAGACCTGACCCTTGAACTTTTCTTTATAGCTCATGAAGGGGCAGCTGCCTACAACAGCAGCTGGGGAATTACTTTGCTTCATTTTGAGTTCTCAGGGTTATAGGTGACAGTGAGTTTGGAGCCAAGGCACACCTAGAATGGCCTTCTCAGGACTCCAGAGGAAGCGCTTTTCTTTTCTATAGGGTTCTCTCCTAGTCTCTTCTTCCCCTACTCACCCTCTGGGTACCTAGGACACTTGCACTCTATCTACCCTATCTTGGTCCTTTTGTGCTGCTATCTAAAATGCCACAGACTGGGTAATTCCGACACAATAGAAATTATTTCTTACAGTCAGGGTGGAAGTCCAAGATCAGGAGGCCAGTAGAACCCTTGTCTGGTGAGGACTGCTCTTCCACTCCAAGGCGGCACCTAGTTGCTGCACCCTTCAGAAGGTAAGGGATGTTGTATCCTTATGGACAGAAGAGCAGAAAGTAGTTGCCTGAAGACTTTTCCTAAGGCATCAAGCCATTCATGAGGGTGGAACCCTCAAAACTTTACCACTTTCCAGAAGGCCCCATCTCCTCATACTACCACCTCTGGGGTTAAGTTTCAACAAAGGAATTTTGGAGCACCTCAATCCAACTTGCCTCCATGAAAAGAGGATTTAAACACTTCAGCAAGGTAAACAAGTTCCTTCACACCCCGGCTTCTACTACCTTAGCCTCCTTATTTCCCACCCCTCCCTTCTTCTTTCCAGAAATAAGCAGTGTGACATAGTGAAATAGCACAGATCTGTGCCCAGATTGACTTGGTACTGAATTCTGGCTCAGCACTTCCCAGTTCAGGAACCTTAGGCAAACTCACTTTTATCTCTCTGAGCCCCAATTTCCAAGTCGGAAAATTGGAAATAAGAGTAGCACATGAAAAGGCCTACTGACAGAGGTCTTAACACTGTGGTGGTACAAACCAGGACAATAGCCCATCTTCTCTAAGATCTCTCACACCTTTTTCTTTAGCAGTACTGGTATTGAGCCCAGTGCCTTTGCATTGAGCTACATCCCCAGGCCTTTTTAATTTTTATTGTTTTGTTTTATTTCCTCAGTCGCTAAATTGCCTGGGCTGAGTTCAGTCTTGTGATCCTCTTGCCTCAGCCTCCTAGAGTGCTAGGACTATAGGTGTGAGCCACTAGGCCCAGTCCCCAACCCTTTTTAATTTATGTTTGAGACAATGTCTCACTATGTATAGTTCAGGCTGGCCTTGAACTCATTATGTAGCCCCAGTTAGCCTCCAACTCACAGAAATTCTCCTGCCTCAGCGTCCTGAGTGCTCAGATTACAAGCTTGCACCACCACCGGTGGCTCTAAAATCCCTTTTAACTGTTTATGAATTTAAAAAAAACTTTACAATTCTCTGGACATATTAAATGGGACTGGACCAATTCAAATATTCCATACTAAATTAGTGCCCTGAAGAATCATAAGGTCCATGTTCTTTATATGAGTAAGAATAATTGTTGGCTCACAACTTCCAACTTAGCATCACCCAAGTAAGCCACTTGGGCTCACTCATATTTCCCTAAGTCCTGAATATAGGGAAAAAGAATCGAACTTCACACACTGAAATAGTATGTGTATTTTACAATTTTAAAACATTTTTAAATGCTCATCTCTACATCATCCTATGACCCACCATGCCATCTGGTAAATGCTCAGTCATTTTTCAACACAAAATGTTTCCACCTCTGATGAGGTCTCTTTCCACGCCTGGTTTCTTTTCTTTTCTTTCTTTTTTTTTTTTTTTGAGACAGGATCTCGCCATATAGTTCAGGCTGATCCTGCACGAACTATGTAGCCCAGGCTGGCTTCGAACTCGCGGCGATTCTCCTGCCTCAGCCTCCCGAGTGCTGGGGTTACAGGCGTGCACCAAGCCTAGCCTCCCATCCCTCTTTAAAATTTTGAGATAGGGTCTCCTAAATCGCTAAATTGGCCAGGCTGGGTTTGAACTTTGGATTCTCCGGCTATGGGCCTCTCAAAGAGTGCTGGGATTACAGGCGTGTGTCACCACGCCCGGCCGGCTTTGTTCTCGCAGACCCTTCTGGTGAGTTGAATCACTGGGACTCTAGTAGGGGGTATGAATTCAAAGCTGCGTCGGGCGAGCAGGGGACGAAGTGGTGGATCTCCAGGGGCAACTCAATGACTTACATCAGGCAGTCTCCTCCACTCACAGGATAGCACGGGCACGCACGTACGCACTCGCACACTCACCGATTCGCCGAAGCTTTTGGATTGCATTAAAAACGCAAAAGGGGGCCGGGGATTTAGCTCAGTGGTTTCGCCGCCTGCTGCGCAAGCGCAAGGACCCGAGTTCGATTCCCCGGTACAAAAAAACAAAACAACAACAATAAAAAAACGCAAAAGGTCACAGGATGACGTAGTACCCTCCGCTCCGCCTGCGGGCCGCGATTGGCTCTGGGCGTCAGTGCGCGTAGGAGCGGGCGTACGACCTTCATGGGCGGGGCCAGGCGGTGGCCCGGCCGATTGGCCCATTTCGAGGCTGACGGTTGGCCTTGACACCGCGTTTGCGCTCCCGCCAAGGCATCTGGAATTCAAACCGAGTGTCATGGAGGCTTACCGAGGTTTGGCGGAAGCTGAGACCTTGAGCTCAGAACAGGCTGCCCGTTATCTGAGGTATGTTTGGGCCGCCAGGCGGATCTAGGTCGCAGAGTCTGGAGGAGGATGGGGGGTGGGCTGGCCCCCAGACCCTCCCAACGCCCAAAACTGCTGAAACGAGAAGCGCGCCCGCACCCCTGGAGTAGGGCCTGAAATCGGTTCTGTACGCTGAGCAGATTTCTAACCTGGGGAGACCCTGTGCCTACGCCCCACGTGCAAAATAATCTATCATAAGAGTTCTTTTAGAGCTAGAACTTCAACTTGAGTCTTTCCAACCTACCAAGCCCCAGGCATAGGTGGTAGAAATGAATAAAACATGCTCCTAGTCGCAAATTGCATGTAATCGAGATGGAAATGCAAATGAACCTGTAAACCGATACAGTACTTCTATAATGTTTGCTAATTCTTGTAAGCTATTAAATGTTCAAGGTAGAGAATGGCCAACTATATGTTTGTGTTTTTTTAGCAAAACATTTATTGGTACATTTTAGATATACATGATGTTAACACTCATCATAGGGAATTTGCACCTGTACATGATATATCCTGCCTCTTATTATAATTATTATTATTTTTTTTGGTACCGGGGATCCAACTTGGGACCTTGCGCTTGCGAGGTAGGGCAGCGGAACCACTGAGCTAAATCCCCGGCCCTTTGCCTCTTCTTATTTTGAGACAGGGTCTCGCTATATAGTTCAGGCTGCGCTTGAACTCATTATGTAGCCCAGTCTGGCTTTGAATTTAGAGCGATCCTCCTGCCTCAGCCTCTGGAGTGCTAGGATTACAAGCTTGTGCCACCACTCTTGGCTATGAATGGCCAACTATAAAAGTCACTGAGCTAAGGGAAGACCTCACCAGAGGGGAGGAAACATTTGAGCTGTGTTTTGAGAAACGAATAAGCATTCACCAGATGATTGAGTGGGGCGCGTGGTTGTTGCTGCAATGAGCATTTTAAATTTTTAGAAAATTGTAGTAAAATACATGTAAGATTTACCTTCTTAACAATTTCAGTGGTGTTTGTTGTGTAACTCTTACCTTGTAAAACTAAAACTACAGTATACTCATTAAACAACTCTTCATTTCCCCCTTTCCCAGCCCCTAGTAACCATCATTCTTCTGTATGTCTCCATGAATTTGACTACATTAAATATCTTTTATCTCTCTGAGCACAGGGTCTTAAGTGTTCATCTGTGTTGTATCATGTTACAAGGATCCTTTTTAAGGCTGAGTAATACTCCATTGTATGTATATTCATGGATTTATCTATCTGTTGATAGGCAGGTTATGTATATATATATATATATTTTTTTTTTGCCTTACCGAGGATTGAACCCAACATCTTCACACCAAGAAAAATCCCCAGCTCTTTTTATTTTGAGATAGTGTCTGACTAATTGTAAAATTGCCCAAGCTGAGCTGGAACTTTTGATCCTTCTGTCTCAAACCTCCCAGAGTGCTAGGATTACAAGCCTGCCCCACTGCACTTGGCTGTTTCTGTATCTTGAACTGTGAATGATTCTGCAGTGAACATAGGACTGCAGATACCCTTTTTTTTTTAGTACCAGGGATCAAACTTGGGTCCTTGCACTTTCGAGGCAGGCAGCAGGACCACTGAGCTAAATCACCGGCCCTTTTTTAACCTTTATTAGTACACGTTTGCAGTAAACAATGATTACATTCATTGTAGGGAATTGGTACATGTACATTGCAGACACCTCTTTGGCGTACTGATTTCAAATCCTTTAGCTATATACCTAGAAGGGAGATTGCTGAATGGTATGGTAGTTGTATTTTTAATTTTTTTTTTTTGAGACAGGGTCTCCCTTTGTAGTTCAAGCTGGCCTTGAACTCATTGTATAGCCCAGGCTGGCCTCGAACTCGCAGTCATCTTCCTGCATCATATTCCCAAGGGCTGGGATTACAGGCATGCACCACCACGCCTGGCTTCTATTTTTTATTTTATTTTGGTACCGGGGATCAAACTCGGGACCTTGCGCTTGAGAGGCAGGCAGTGGAACCACTGAGCTACATCCCGGGCCCTATTTTTAATTTTTAAGAGATGGTCACCAGGGCCCAGGATGTGGCTCAGTGGCGCCACGCATGCCTGGCAAGTGCAAGGTCCTGAGTTCAATTCCTGGTACCGCAAAAAATAAAACAAAACAAAAACCAAGGCATGGTCTCCTAAGTTGTCCAGGCTAACCTTGAACTTGCCTCTTGCCTCACCATCCCAACTAACTGGGATTACAGGCATGTGCTACCATGTTGGGCTGCCTTTGTTTTGTTTTGTATCGGGGCTCGAACTCAGGGCCTTTTGCTTGTGAGGCAGGTGCAGTGCCACTGAACTAAATGCCCAGCCCTTGGGCTGCCTTTTTATCCCTTTAAAAAATTTTTATTATGCTAGGCATGTTGGCATGTGCTTATAATTTCTTTTTTCTTTCCCTGAGACAAGGTCTTACTGAATAGTGTAAGCTGGCCTTGAACTCACTATGTAGCCCAGGCTAGCCTTGAACTCAAAATGATCCTCCTGCCTCAGCCTCCCAAGTGCTGGGATTACAGACATGTACCACCATGCGCAGCTGTAATTTCATTTTAAAATTAATTTTCATTTTAATTTTGGCTATTTTAATTTTTTTGTATGTGTGAGACGGCCTCATTATGCAAGCCAGGCAGGCCTTGAGTTCACCATGTAGCTAAGGCTGTCTTGGAAATCTTCCTGCTGCAGCTTCTTGAGTGTTGGGATTACAGGTGTGCAGCATCACACCCAGCCTTGTTTTGTTTTTTGAGACAGGGTCTTGCTATATAGTTGAGGCTGGCCTTGAACTCACTGTGCAGCCTAGACTGACCTTGAATTTGTTGTGATCCTCCTACCTCAGCCTCCCAAGTACAGAGATCACAGGCGTGCAGCACCATACCTGGCGATGCCTATAATTTCAGTACTCTGGAAAGTTGAGGCAGGAAGATCTCAAGCTTGAGCCCAGCCTAGGCAACTCAGTGACTTAGCAAGGCCCTGTCTCAAAATAACAATTAAAAAATGGGCTGGGGTGTCTCTCAGGATGAAGGTCCTGGTTTTAATCCCCAGTACAACCCCCTAAAAATTATTGTATAGGTTGTCTTTTTATTGTGTTGATTATGTCCTTTATGTAGAGAGAATATTTTCCCCCTTGACACAAACATACATTCATTTTATTCACAGAACAGCCTGGCTTCCTCAAATAATACAAACAACTTATTCATCAGCAGGCTGGGGTGTATGTACCCAGGCGAGAGGGGACTCCTGGATACCCATCCCCACCAGCAGAGGACCATGCAAAGAAGAAGCAGTCTCGGAGATATCGAGACATAGGCTCCACAATCTGAACCAATGAAGAGAACTTGTGATTTTTTTTCCAAAATCATTGCTGTTGGGGTGGGGGATCTCAGTCTGATATCTGTAGGTACAGCAGGCTGCCTAGGTCCTTTTGCTCTCTCCCTCCATTCCCTCCACCTTTGAGCTCTTTGCCTGAGGTAGCTCTGCACGCTTTCAACCAGAGGGACTGTTACACAGAGCCATCAGTATTGTCAGTCCATTGTTTGAATGCATTCTCCAGGCAGTCTGTGCCCTTGGATGGTTGGAAGACCCAAAAGAGGTTTAAATGAGGGTAGAGTTAATCTGTATTGCACAAAAGTTGTGTGTGTGTGTGTGTGTGTGATGCTGGGGATTAAAGCTAGGGTCTCACACATTCTAGGAACTCTACCACTGAGCTACATACCCAGCCCTTTTAATTTTTTGGCAATACTGGGGATTGAATCCAGGGCCTTCGCATTGAGCTACATCCCTAGCCCTTTTTATTTTTTATTTTGAGACAGGGTTTTACTTAGTCACTAACTTGTCCAGGCTGGGATGGAACTTGGGGTCTTCCTGCCTCAGCCTCCCAGGGTGTTTACAGGCATGCGCCACCATGCCCAGTTATTTTATTTTGCTTGTTTTTTTTGGAACCGGGGATTGAACTCTGGTCCTTGTGCTTGCGCAGCAGGCGGCGAAACCACTGAGCTAAATCCCCAGACCCCAGTTATTTTATTTTGAGACAGTTCTTGCTTAGTTGTCCAGCTTCCAGTCTACCTGCCTCAGCCTCTTGAATAGCTTAGGACTACAGGCAAGGGACAGTACCACCTGCTAAAAGTTTTAAATTTTGATGTAGTACAAAGAAATGAATTGGGACAGTAAAGTAGTTGTTTCCCCTTTCAAATAAAGAATTTTTTTCTGGTTTTAAATTTTAATTTAATTTAATTTTTTGTTTTTTGAGACAGGGTCTTGCTGTGTAGTTCAGGCTAGCCTTGGACTCACTATGTAGTCCAGGCTGGCCTCCAACTCGGTGATCGTCCTGCCTCAGCCTCTTGAGTGCTGGGATTACAGATGTGTACAACATGCCTGGCTTTTTAAAAATAAAGAATATTTTTAAGGCTGTTAAAAGTCAGAATGTCTCCTTATAGAGGAGTAAGCATATCTTTGGACTAGTTAAATGACTTCCTTAAGGATGACTTGGGGAAAACTGAGAGGCTATATAGTATAGTAGGGTACTAGCTTTAGAGTTGGGTCCTTTTTTTAAAATTTTATTTATTTGTTTTTTTGCTACTGGGGATTGAACTTGGGACCTTGCACTTGCGAGGCAGGCAGTGGAACCACTTCGCTAAATCCCCGGCCGAGGTCCTTTTATTTTATTTTTTGCAGTACTGAGGATTAAACCCAGGACCTTATGCGTGCCAGGCAAACATACTACCATTAAGCTATACCCGCACCTCAAATTGGGTCATTTAGATTCAGATTACTGCCTTTGGGGTGGGAGGTGTTGGGCATGAATTTTCTGGTGTTGCAATGACAAAGGAAAACAAACTTTTGAAAGTTTCTTGGCAAGGCAAATTTTATTCCTGCAGAAGAGTGCGCAGCTGGACAAAGGCAAGCAAGCACACTGAGGTAGTTTACCTGAGTTTTATCTCTGACACACTGTCCTCACTGTGTCCCGCTCCATTGTTGGGACTCA